CTCCACAAGTACTCTCCATACTCACTCTCTGGCTACTCTTGAGCCCTCACCCACCATGGACTCACCAAGTACTCCTCATACTCACTCTCCGAGTACTTCCCAGTACTCACTTGCCAAGCACTCCCAAGTACTCAATCACTGAGTACTTCCTGCACTCACTCCCCAAGTACTCATTGAGTATTCCCAAGAACTCACTCACTGAGTACTCCCAAGTACTCCCCATACTCACTCCCTGATACTCCACAAGTACTCCCCGCATTCTCTGAGTACTCCCCAGTACTCCCCAAGTATTCCCCATACTCACCGAGTACTCTGATACTCCTCAAGTGCTCCCTGTACTAGCTTCCTGAGTACTCCCTGCGCTCACTCCCCAAGTACTCCTGGGTACTCACTCACCGAGGCGGCGGGCGCAGCAAACGCCAGGCTCAGAAGCATCAGCAGAGGGATGAGCTCCTCACTGGTCTCCACGTAGGGCATGGAGAGCGTGCGGTCATAGCAGCGGAAGCCCACTTGGGCCGGCTTGAAGAGGTCGGTCAGCTCCAGGAAGTACAGGGAGACAATGGAGGAGGCCACAATGGGCAGCTGTGGGGAGCCACGGCCAGCTTATCTCAGCTGCGGGACTCTCCGTCCACCATGAGTTTAGTCAACTCCTCGGCCCACTCATTCTTGCAAAACACTTACCCTTCTGTTCACCCACCCAGGTTGTTCATGGGCTGATGGTTCTCCTCTCTATGTGATAGAATCACAGAGCCTTCCACCCGTCCACCAACTCACCCATCCATCCAACCACACCCGTCACCCAGCCACCACTCACCCATCCATCCAACCACACCCGTCACCCAGCCACCACTCACCCATCCGTCCACCTGCACGTATCCGTTCTCTATCATCCTCCATCCACCCACTTGTATCTATCCATCGATTCATTCATCCATCCATCCATTCTCACATGCACCAATCCATATATCCACTCACCTGTGCACCCACCCATCCCCCTGCCCACATGTATCCATCATCCTTCACCATCCTTTCACCACGATATATCTGCCCATCTCTCTATCCTCCAGTTTACTCATCCCAATGGTTCACGGGGTCATGGTTCGCCCACCCATCTATGTAATATAATCAACAGGACCACCCACCCATCCCCTCACCAACGACATTTGAAGGTAAGTCAGTAAGGAAATACTTGCAGCAAAAGCAGGTAAACCTTTATTCGACAACAACAACAACAAAATGTGAAGCAATTGCTTCTCAGCATCCCCTCGATCCGGGTCTACCTACTCCTGCAGGTGGTCTTTCCACCTGTAACTCTTCCCCGGAAATTCTGCACTCTCCCACACACACCAGGTGGAAACAGAAGTTCTGCATTCTCGAGGAATGCAGGTTGGGTTCCTTTTAAATAATCTTTGAGTTTGGGGTGCAAAAAGAAGTATGAGGGAGCGACATGAGGGCTTGGGGTCAACGTCAGGCTGTAGGGTTCATGGGCCGGTTCCCGGTGAAAGTCGTTGAGTGCGGCCAGAGCTCTCTCCCTCTGAGAAGGAGCGGCGCATTGTCATGAGGGAAAGCAACGTCTTGGTGCGACTCTGCTGGCCTCTGCCTCCCCTTCTGTTTTCCGCTTTCTGAAACCGATCCCCGCGCTCATCCTGTGTCCTTTGAGAAAATTCAACAGGACCCTTTTGGAACCCCCTAAACACAGCTGCTACCATAACCTGAGCTGACCTCTCATCGATGGTTCAGTGGGTGCTCTTAGAAACCAGTGCTGACTGGTCTAAGGGCACTCGCGGGACGGTGAGATAAGCTATGAGTGAGAGAGCTTGTCTGCAGCCATTACTGCAGAAACATGCTTAAGCACACTTCATTTGGGATAAATCCATGCACACATGGACTAAAACCCTAGGACCGATGCGTTTTAAGTGACCCTCTTATCTATCCATCTACTCATCCTTCCATCCATTTGGCCTCCCATCCTGTAGCTCACCCATTCTCATC